AAAGTACAATCATTTGCTGAAAGAATAATTACTGGGATACAATTATTGCTTCAAGAAATTCATTTTATTTGGAAACAGCTTGGGAACCAATGGAATATAAAATGTAGCTTTGAAATATGAGGAGATCTTTTCAAGATCACGTGGATTAAGAACTGTTTTGTGCATTGTTGGCCTTGAAGCCCCGCTTTGATTCATAGCTTTGAGTATTCCATCAATGGTACGTTTTGCGCTTTTCAACACAGTGTCATGAACAATATTTACTGGCCATCCAATATCTTGTAGGTGCCTATTGATTCCAGATCTTATGGTTTTCAGAGTATTCTTGTAAAAGTGTTGCGTTTGAACATCGATCATTTTTTCTTTACGTTAAGTGCATTCCTTTGGTTTGGCCTCACAGTAGAAATTTCGCAAGTGTGATGCCAGGACCTCAGCTGTCACATTATCAAAATCAAGGACTTCATGGTAGACTTCAGAATGCAAATCTAAAAATTTCATATAACTACAGCAAAACTCGGTTGTAACGAAGTCACTGGAACCGATGGCATTACTTCGTTATATCCGTTATTCAGAATACAGCTGGGGATCCATGATGACTTCGCTATATCCGTAAATTCGCTATATCCGTGTTCGTACTAAACGAGTTTTGCTGTATGCTAGGAAGTATGAAACAGCTTCAGTTTTTTTTTAATTCAGTTCTAATTATTGTAACATTTTTTAAAATTCAATTTTGTTTACTAAGTCTATTTAAAGGGAAAAGTTTATAAATACTTTTTAAATTATTTAGAACTACCTTGAAATAATTTATATCCCACTTTGCGTTCATTTTAGTAGATTTTGACTGCCTTGCATCTTCAAACTGTTTTAAATCATTTTCGATGAAAGACTTGAATCTTTTGGGCACAACTGGGGTCTCTGGAGGGGGAGGTAGATAAAAGCACTCTCTAACAATTCATCCTTCATTTCATTCAAATTCTTAACAAAAGATACCACTTCCATATATATCAGATCAAAATTTTCCATATAAGCTTAACACTGTTAATTATCAATAACGTACGCAATTTACAAGAAGAGAATTTATACATCATTAATAGAAGTTTTATTAGATTTATGCAGTTTTTTTTTATCAGAAAACTCCTCATTTGGGTTGAAACTAAGAAAAAAAAATAAGAAATGTACTTGTACCTATATTTGGTTATTGATTAGTACATTTAGATTTAATTGTCTAAAGTCATTCCTAGATCCTTCTACATATTGGTAGTTGAAGGAGAAGAGGGTTCGGGGTATGGGAGTGGAGAAACAGAACGATTGGAATGAAAATGAAAAAAGAAAAAAAATAGATCAGTAGAAATTGTTACTAATCAAACAAAATGCTTGTTTTCCGCAAAATAATTTATTTAAGAAATAAGGTATCATTTTTAAACATCTATCGGGATATAAATACGGGTGGGTCACGAGATTAAATTCCATAAAGCCCTTCGGGCTTTATGATGAATTTAATCTTGTACCCACCCGTATTTATAGCCCGATAGATGGTTTAAAATGATACCTTATTACTTATATTTACATTTGTGACTAATTCATATTTTATATTTGCAAGATTGTGACTTTGAACACGTGAAATGATTTATTTTTCAAACCCAACGGCAAATATGTAATCCACTTAACGCGTGTCGACCCTTTATGACGTCACTGAGAAATTACGTCAAACGTTTGTCCATACGCACATCTATGACCTCTTGACCGAGTACCGGTATTTATACAGTTATACATGCGCATTGCTTTCAGTAGTGTTTTATAAAGGAAAACATTTGCAAATGTAAATATATTCGGATGTTTGCCAGTACTTACTCACCTTTTTCTTAGTGCAGAAAGGTCAATATTTATAACTCAAGAGTAAATATAATAGAAAACTTCATATTTCTCGTTTATTTTATCATAAAGATGTACTTTTTTCTTTGTTAAAATAAAGAGATAATTTATTTCTTTCAAAAAATGTGCATTACAATATTTTCACAATATTTTCACAAAAAAAACTTTTTAAAGATATAACCTATTAAACATGTCGAAGTTTTAAAAAATACAAGAAATTTGAGTTCTACTTGCATTGCGCTCATTTATAATTTTTCATGCAAGACGAATAACAATGAATTTGCCTTCATTTTAAAGGTACAAGTCAAATAATTGAAACACCTTTTGATTTTAAATGTGATTTGACATTTTTGGTTTTTTTTAGCGTATATTTGGGGTGGAACAGTAATGTCTGAAAATAATCTAATTTTAGAATTTCACACCCTTTTTGCAGTGCTCCTGTGTAAAATCAAGCATATAAAAGGTTTGTTTATACTACCTAAAAAATAAGAGCAACTTGCCATGTTTTGAAAATTTCACACAAAGACTTTTCGGACATAGGTCCCCCCTTTATAAAACATGTGCACTACTAGAGGTGTGGCAAATTTCATTCAAATCCGATATGTGGTTTTGTAAAAATTTAGATAGTTCATGAACTTTTTGATCACCCTGCGTTTTGTCAATTAACAATAGTTATTTTCATTATTATGTCGATACGATATATGCTGGTGAGCTTGAGATTACAGATACCACAGAGTAAAAGGATATAGAGAACAGTATTCAATCTCAAATTCCATAAAACAATAAAAAATAGAGCAGAGCAAATACGGAGCTCCGAAACATCAGAGGTGGGATCCAATGCCATGGAGGAGTGAGCATCCCCTGCTACCGGTCACACCTGCCGTGTGCTCCTTGTCATGATCGTGAAATAATAAGTCAATTCAGAGTATAAATAATGGACAATCAATTAGTATGACAAATGTCAGCATTTGCCTCAATGATAAATTATTGTATTTGCTGAAAAGGTATCGACTATAGAACTTACTAAACGATGACTTTAAACGATACTGCTGATATTCCTGTTTCATCAACGTGCTTGTCAATAATTTACACCGTTTTAGAACTTGTTCATACGTAGACCATGCTCTTATGTATCAAATCAACTTAGATATATATACTCCGAATGCAGATGATGAAGGTACATGTATATTGCTGCATAAGTAAGGGAAGTTGACGATAGAAAAGTTTAAGTCATCACGTTTATCATATAGCTTGGTTGTTATATTACAATTAGAGTCTTTTTGAAGTAAAATATCCAAGTACGAAACAGATGTGTCAGACTCTGTGGTATATTTTATCTCAAGCTCAACGGGATAAATGATATACATGTAGGAATGGAAATTACAATTGTTAATTGACAATACGTCGTCGATATATCTAAATTTCGAGTTGAAGACCACAGGAAGTGTTTTCTTCTATTCATAAGATTTTGCACAAATTCTGCTTCATATGAATATAAAAGTAGGTCTGCTAATAACGGAGCGCAATTGGTCCCATGGGAACTCCAATAGATTGTTGGAATACCTGGTCTCCAAAAACCACATAGATATTGTCAATCAGAAACTCAAACATATCTTTGATGTCAACTTCAGGGAACTTGTTTGTGCAATAAGAATGTGTTTTGACAAAATAATTTTACAAATGACCAATGACCAGGTAAGTAGATATACGAGTTCCATTTTTATTGAAAAGCAGGTGTCAATGATATCAAAAAACCTGAACTTTAATTTATCGTGGGGATCGATTGGGTATAAAGTTGAAAAGTCGTAAGTTTTTAGGCTTTTGATTTTGGTAAAATCTTGCCATTTCAAATTGTCCAAAAGTTCTTTGGAATTTTTGAGTATCCACATCTTATTCCCACCACCTCTTGAATACATTGTTAAACAGTACTCTTGAAGTTTTTCCTTCACTACTGTGAATATCTTGGTAAAGAGTAACGAAAGAGGCATTGTTGTACTGGAACCCCCAATGTACTTTTGTTTGTAAGGATTTTATGAAGTTTTGGAATCCAATATATATAGGGTAGTTTAAATTAATTTTGGCTCTGTGGAATATCAAAAAGATTTATAACAGACATATGATTGTGAAGCACTTCTTCATCAGAAAGGGACGTTTGAGTTTAAGTAGGATTACCACTTGTAGAATTAAATTAAGTTCTTTTAAAATACAGTTTATATAATGAGCCTTACAAACGAAAACAATATTGTTATCTGCATGCTTTGTCGGCAGGGACTAGTACGTGCTGATCATGTAATCTATCTAATTCTTTTTTCACTTCTAGATTATTAAACACAGAAGGATAGATGGTTTTCATATAACCCCTCAATCTTTTAATACGCGACTTAAACATAGATCTGATACATTTAATTCATGCTGACAAAGTGTCAATGTCTTCTTTTTCATATCTGGCACATCATCTGGTGTAATCGTCAACAGAACCCATAATATTTATGAAATTCAGAAACGCCAGCTGAAGGATCGAAGTTCCCTATATTAAGGACCTTTTAACTTCAGTGATCTAAGGTCCTCGTTGTTATGTCACGTACTGTATAATAACATTTCCAGCAGGACTATAGTTGTAGAGCGAAGAAGAACGTGAACACGAAGGAGGATGAAAAAGGTAAGGAAAGGTAACCGTTTGCTGAATTGTTACTGAAAAAGCATTTGTGTTGGTGCTGAAAGGCATTTAAAAGTTCACGGACAAGAATGTACCCGCCATTTAGGTACAGCATAGAAAGAAATGTTTTCTTTTTAGTTTTATTTGTAAAGCTTTTTTATCTCTTCACGGGCTTTAAATAAGCTTATGACAATTGAAAAAAATAAAAGAAAAAGAGACAAAGAGCCAAAACATCTATCACGATAAACAATAATTTTGCTTTACCCAGACAAAAGAGCTGGTAAACATTCCATCTCATATATTTCTATGCTACCAATACTAGTTTTATTCCATTTTGGATAATGAAAAACTCCTACATCTAACAAATAAGTTTTTGTTTTTTCGTGGGCGGGGGGGGGGGGGCATTGAATAATCAATATAAAATGTAAAAAAGAAAATGAAAAAAAATGTCTTTTTGGAAAAAGTTTGCTTTTATTTGAAAACATGTAAGAGTAGCAAATAAAGAACAAAATTCTAATCATAAAAATCTTTATCCACGCATTGTTTTTGGTATAGGTGATCAACAGCTCTGTCAACAATCCATTTTAGGTTAATAAGAGCCAAAGCGTTTTTAGAATCCTTTGGAGAGTATTCGTCATGAAAATTTGACATCGGTAAAATGTTTATAAATTCAAAATTGAGATTTTCACCAAGTCTTTTACATTCTTCTTCTACATTTTTATTGAGAAAGACTCCTTCCACATTATCAGAAGCCCCTCCTATCCTGTCTATGGCAGTGAACAAAATGCACAAAGGAATACCTAAAATTTAAGACATGTTTTTGTCATTATTTTAACAGACACGTGGACACAGCCTCACATATACAGCCTCCCTCACACGCAAATCTAACCTCACCCAAACACCCGGTCATTCTCACAAACACACACATAGGGAGAGAGAGAGAAGAGAGAGGGTCTTTAAAATTAAGAAAAATTCATGTCGTATGAGTTTCATTACCAAGGTCCTCGAGTATGATTTGAAGGTCCTTAAATTCGTCTATGCAATTTATCGCCTTATCAGCTCTTATAGTGAAAACCACACAATGCATTGAATTACGTATATCTGGATCATCACGATATACCATCTTGTCTTCCTTCATCTGTGATGCCGTTTTTATCTAAAAGAAAATTCTATCATTATAATTAAAAAAACATTTTTTAATGACCGACACCATGAGCATAAAAAAGAATACCTTATTCAAGATGAAGAAACGGTTATAAGAATGAAAAACCTCCACGATAGCACACACCTTTTTTAAACTGCAATTAGGCACTTGTATTGTCTTTGAAAGGGCGGAAGAATAAGGAGCCGCCGGAAGAAATACTTGATATGACCCTAATTTAGTATACTCTTTACAGCTCGCTTAACTGTAATGCTACATACAATTGATGTTCATATCATAGAAATATGACGTTACCATTTCCCCGCAAGCACTTTATCATGAGCGCTGTGCTAGTTCTCTAAAGATTAGCGTAAATAATATTATGACGTAGTATTTCAATAAGAAAACAACTTTTCTTCCTTTATGTGATTTTAGCAAGTATGAAATAGATGGAAATTGGATAAAAGATTAAAAGAACTTTTTGAAGTGCATAAAAAATGTGTGGTTGCGGGGAAACGGTGTGTGTTGATATTGAGTTAGAAATAGAAAATGGTATATTCGATGAAATGTGCGATTGCGGGGAAGGGGTTCATCCTTTTTTTTTATTTCTGCATTTTTAACTATAAAATCCGATTAATATCTAATAACTACTCGTATAAAATCCGATTTATATCTAATGATGTTTGACCATTAGAATACGCTATGTCTCCCTGGTGTTATCTGAAAAACTGCAGTTTACAGATTATTAACTATACATATATATATTTACCACTGAATGGGATTTGATAAATCCCTTAATGATAAGTTCAATTTCCTTCAGCGCTATACTATCAGCTTCAAGAATCCCTCTACAGTCAAATAATCTGATCGGTAGGTTTTTATCCTTTTCGTACTGAAGACAGTATGGACGTAGCTAAAATTGATGATAACACTTGTTTACAGTAATGCCACATTTGGAAGAAAAAAAATATTCAGTGCTTCTTCGAAGGATCTTTACTTAAGCTACATAATAGACAGCTACAAAAATAACAAAAAGTATTTTCATGCCTTCATTGTTACACTGCTAATGGAATTTGCTCCCACTGATGCTACCTTGTGCATTTCCCCATCATCTGATACAGCAGTTATACAAGTATTGACGAAAGAAGATTTCCCTGTACCTGATGGCCCAAGCATCAATATATTGAAATATTTTATTCCATCTGGCGGTTTTAAGGTTATTAATTGCTTTTTTATCATTTTCCAAACCTGGAACCACATACGTAGAATAAATAATGAGAAATTAAGAAAAGAAAAAAGTTTAAATGCTTACTTTTAAGAATATATATTTTTAAAAATGAATAAAACAATCCAAAGAATGTCAAAAAGGTTCAACCTAAGTGTTTAATTTATTTAATTATATGATACATATACATTTTATCGAATATAAACATATATCAGAGAGGTAACAAACAAAAGACGACCGGTTGATGCCTGCAATGATTTTCTTCACTGTTCCCCCTTGTGACACACATCTCTGTATTTAAGGATATTTTAATGAAATTTCCTTTGATTTAACTTACAACTTTATATGCAAATAGAATTGTTAAAATAGAAATAAAAGAGGTAGTAAAAAAAGTCATGATATTTAAATCGAATCGATCTTTTTCATTTTCTTTTTGTAGTTATAAACATAGAAATATTCTTTGTTTTATACCCGTTCTGTTAGGAACTGTTCTTTGTCATGGAACTTACGCCATAACCGATGAGTTTCGCTTCTGTTTCCTTCCAAAACATCTTTAAAAAATCAGTCAAATGAAATATTACGCTGCATAAAAAAAGAAGCACACAAAGATACCCACCCTTAGAGAGAGAGAGAGAGAGAGACAGAGACAGAGAGAGATATTTTCTTTATACAATGCATATGAAATGCTTATGGTATGGGTATAACTCATTACATTTTCACGGAGAGAGGGTTGCATGTAGACTATTTACGTTTCCAAAATTTTTTCTATAAGACTTCGGTCGAGACCTTAGAAACCGAAGCCCCGTGACAGCGGCATGCGTTGGCAGGATAAAGATCCCTCACTGCTCAATGGCCCTGAGTGCCGAGTAAATGTCAAAATTTGAAGCCCTTCACCGGCATACGGTGACGTATCCATCTGAGTGAAAAATTCTAGAGATGGACGTTAAACAATACACAATTAATCAATCTTTAAGATTCCGTATGTAAATTAGAAAAAAAATCCATGTCCTCATTAAATTTCATGGCATGAGTAGGAATGTTCTATGTTTTGTGTCATTGAAATGAACCGTTCACGGTAGCTCAGTCGGTAGAGCGCTCGCTTCGTGCTCGGGGGGTCGTGAGTTCGTATCTCGGCCGCGACTGATCTAAGTCGATAAAAATGGGTAGCAACTGTTCCCTCGCCACGCGCTCGGGACTTTGAAGTGAAAGTTGCGGGTCCTTCGGTCGAGACCTTAGGAACCGAGGCCCCGTGTCAGCGGCAGGCGTTGGCACGATAAAGATCCCTCATTGCTCAATGGCCATAAGAGCCGAGTAAAGGTCAAAATTTGAAGCCCTTCACCGACATACGGTGACGTCCCCATATGAGTGAAAAATTCTCGAGAGGGACGTTAAACAATATACAATCAATCAATCATTGAAATGACAAATGAAATGCAAATTTTTTTTTTTTCCAAAAACAATTCTTGAATTACGAAAGCATGTGACAAGTCAATTGAAAAATAAAAAAAGAACGTTTTACGCCTGCATTTTTAACATGAAACACTGACACGACTTATGATGTATGCAGAAGTGGAGCGTCGTATTTCATGTATATATTTGAATTTATCGGATCAAACATTGAATTCATCTCTTAACACACAACATGCAATTTTATAAAACATACTGAAATAATTCAGAATCAAAATCAATTGTCCCATTCCATCTTCTGGAAGCTTAATGATATGCTCTTATTGTTAAAACAACAATCTCAATCCTCGGAGATCACGTGATACCGGGTATAAAGGGTTTAGAAGTAAATTAATCCAAGTTCTTAGACAGATCTAAACTGTAGTTGCTATGTGTCTCTTGGTTGTCAATTAAGGTGGGGAAAAACTGATAAACAAGACTTGTATGTATATGACTTTGTTGTGTTTTATTGCAGGGGATGATTGCTATTTAAATAAGCTAGGAAGCACAAGCGCTCCAGGACAAAATTGAACACTGTAAATATTGATAATTAAAATTTCTGATTGCTGGCCACTCTTACAATTAGTTACATCTTTAACGAATCTAAAAGCAGACCACACATGCCTTCCTTGCAACACTCTATTTTCAAAGGGCGGCACTGAAGTTCTTCGATCTGTCAATATATTTTTTCTAAGAGCTACATTTTTGCAGCTAAGCGTAAAGATGCTGATACTGCCTGCTATGTCACGCAGGAAATAAGTTTGTTACATGTATAAACTAAAATCATAATGCATAATATTAGCTTGTTATGCGCTGAAAGATCAAATATAGGGTATTTAATTAGATAGTAATCAGTAAAACGATAAAATGTAAGTTTTTTGTTTTACGTTCAAAGCATTTAAAAAAATCAATTAAACTATGAATTTTTTTATTTAAATATATAATGTAAAGAACATATTTTACCTTTGTCTTTTGAAGTTTGTACACGATTTTTTTCTTGCCGCGCTGTAAAAGTTACAGTAGGATTCTAATATTTATTTTCTTCGTAAGGAAACGATAAAATTGATTAAAAACGAGGATATCCTCTTAATTCAAAAAATAACATCAAAACGTCTTTGCAATTTTCCTTTACATTCAATTAAGTTTAGTTTTGAACTTTATAAGCTAAATTATCAAATTGCTTTACCCTCGCCATTTGGAAATTGTGCAAGACTTAATTGTTCAGGAGCAGCCTCGATGTTAATATTCGAAGGATTTTTGCACACTGAGAGGAAATGGAAAAAATAACTATGTGAACATTTTAATCGATATCAGCAAATCATATTACCTCTAAAATGGTTTTGTGGAATTATGAACAATTAAGATAAGATTTGATCATAGTACCTCTAAAATGGAAATGAGTAACCTTGATATCGTTTTGATAAATATACTGCTTTGATTGTCGCAAAATGTTCCTTGCATACCTTAATCTTTTTTTTTCAACATACCTGATCCATAATTACACTTTTTAAATATGATGACAATTGTTACAATTATAGCTCCAAGGGTAAGAAGACTTCCAACTAAAGCCCTAAAATATATATAATATATTTATACAATGTAATAATGAATGTATTTAAATAACATTTTCACCTATCTGTTTGAGGAGGATTAAAAGGGATGTTGTTAGGTTTTTTTTATTTTACCATTTCTCTGTACTTCCATTCGTCCCTCCATTGGTTGAGAGAATTGGCCGTGAACTGAAAATAAAATAACATCAATCAAATTTTATATTTAAAGACGTACAACACATGGGGGAGATAACTCTTGCAATTTCAATTGAAGGTTTAACGTGACGTCGAATTTAACGTAACGTTACGTTATAATTTATAATTAATTCACGCTAACTAGTCTGATCCTGATTTTTAAGAAGAAAGCTAGCGGCAAATAATTATTATTAGGTCAAGCATAGTTTTTAACCTATTTCGGGTATGCTGAATCCGAAAAAAATATGCTGGCTTTCAGGAAATGAAGTTAAGATAATCAAAATGGCGATTCAAAATGGCGGACATTCAATTTTCCTATTTTTTTTGTCTATTGTTATTTATTTTGCTTCAGTCAGATATTTACATTTGCAAATATCCATACACTGCAGATTGGTATTTTTCCTCTGCATTTCACTATTCTACAACTGAATTATGGTGCAGCTGTAGTAATAAGTCTAAATTGCAATTCAAAATGGCGGAAACCCATTTTTTCTAATTATTTCTTTGTGTTGTTCAAACACAACGAGTTAACGAATTATATATGGTTTTTATGAAACGGATTTCTGTTTTATTATTTCTATTATTAAGATAAGTTTTTGACGACAATTATACGAAGAACTTTTACCTATTACCTCTCTAACCATGCTTCTTTATATAAGAAGTCAATATTACGACACGATAATTGCTTTTTAGAGGACAATATGACAATTAAGCTACCCCAAGAGCAGTATTCCCCTAGGCCAAAAGCGAATGAACATTGTAGTTCGAGGGGTTGTTAAATCATCTCTGTTGTTCAAGGGATTGTTAAATCATCTCAGTGTTGAAAAAAAAATGTATATTTTCATGTGGAAGGCCTAGTGGAACATAACTTAGCATATTGATTTGAAAATGATAGACCACAACAAATCCGAGAACTAGGAATTATTAAATCATATAAATTTAAATGTGATATACCGTATTATATATCAACAAATTCATTAAGAATTATAAAGACTTAGATACGAAAACCATAAATATTCTTGATTGCACAGCTGTGATTCTGCGTCCCTGCATTTGTATTTTGATATTCATAGCCAAAAATTATCCACTGTATTCAGAAGTATTTGTTGTTGTTATCTTCTTTTGTTATAAATAAATTGAAGCGACTGCAAATTTCCCTATTTTGGAATATTGTATATATTCAAAATCAAAATCGATTATCCATACATAATTTTTGTCATACTTGGATATGGAATAAGGTGATGTTAATTTTAAATTTACAAAACGGAAAGAGGAAAATATCTGTGTTTATTTCCCCCCCATTCTTGTTTTAACAAAGTAGTGTGGATCAAGATGCCAACAAAGGTTCTTGGAGTGTTCAAGATATTTGCATTGTCAAGAGATTGATTGATTGTATATTGTTTAACGGCCCTCGAGAGAATTTTTCACTCATATGGAGACGTCACCGTATGCCGGTGAAAGGAGGGAGTGCTCTACCGCATTGTCAAGAGAAGTGTTGACTGGATCAAAGTCAAGAATGGCTTCGGCTTATTGATACAAAAGCTTGTGCGTGAGAGAAATCACAAAGAATCTACAGGTCCTTGTAGATCTCGGAATTACATGTACACCATTTTTCTCTCCAAAAAAGTTATTTAATGCCCTGTTCGAATTAAACGGAAATTTACTGCAAATTAGCTCCGCTCAGCGTTCACACGGAGAATTTATTGCGAATTAGTATAATTCGAATTAGTTTACTGCGCATTAAATTACTTTGCATTAGCTCCGTGTGAACGCTAAGCGAAGCTAATTCGAATAAAATTTTGAGGCATGCGTAATGGCAAAAGTAGATTAAATGCCACATGTCCGTGGTAAAATTGAAGTATTTGTGCTATTTTTGAGTAAAAAACTAAGAAAAATTGTATTAATCACTAAAATGTGTGTACAGACACTGTAACATTATGCCAAATGCATCTGCTACTGCATAATGTGACGTGATTTGCAAATGACGTCATAATAGCCTAACTGACGCCTGGCCGTAAAAGTAGAATTTTAATTCGCATTAGTTTACTTCGCATTAGCTGTCGTGTGAACGCAATTTAATTCGCATTAGTTTGATTCGGATTAGCTTCCTTCGCATTAATTTACTGCGAATTAAACTCGTCGTGTGAACAGGGCATTAGATGATCAAGTTGGAGAATTTTCTTGCTAGCTAATGGTTTAAACGACCTTTTTACCCGAAAAGACAACAAATTCAAACACAAGAGAAAGATAAATGTCTTATCAGAGATTTTTTCCCCATTTTGCATAAGGTGTTGGAAAACAAAATAGTATTTTAACATTTGAAAATAAATGAGTTGTTCCTTGAGCTTTTGAAAAGACTAAAATGCTGAAGTCTGAAACAAAAAGTATTTAAAGTCGGATTAAAGGATGTTAGGGAGAGAATACTAAGCTCTTACAAGTCTTAATTTCAAAAGCTAGTACATAGGGTTCGATGAAGTCCGGCAAGAATTTCTTCAGTCATATTTGATGGTGTGCTGGTGGATGATGAAGTGGAAGTGCTAGCTGAAAATGACAGCGATTCGGCAGTGATTAACGTGGGCAGGGGCTTATATTTTTAACTTGGAACACGGTCAAATGTGCGAAAACATTTGGAAAGTGTTGAATTGAGTTTGTTTTAACTATGAGCTCCCAAAATTAAACTTTTCTAGTATTATTTTTGTTTGAACATTAGGGAGGGAAAGGGTAAGTGGATGGTTGACGATTGAATGAAATGTGAAAATGATATTGATTTAAGCATTCTGCGCTAAGTAAAGAAGCAGTCTGTAGTTCTTTAAGCAGTGCTTTAGTATTGTTTTTGAGTATCCTCTTGCAGCTCTAACTGTTCTCATACTAGCATATTGCATATCGGTGTGCTATTGTTCATTCTTTCCAAAATAGACACCTGTAGAATTCAAGTTCAACCTTCTAGCCCTGCAATCATTCATTATAAATTGTTTTGGCAAAAAATCTATCTGATCTAGAGCTTAAGAAAAATTTAATACACTTCACTCATTGTAGTTCATGTCAATAGAATGCTAAGAAGGAAAATGTGTTATTCCAAAAATGTCTTTTAGTTGTGTAACATATACAGTCTCCACTAACATGCATCGAAAATTATTTGAAATTTCGCATTCTTTTTATGTATATGCATGTAAGGCAAGCACAATACCTGGTAGTACGTGATACAAAGATAGGCAGATATAGTGGCAGCCTCACAATACTAAGTCAAATGAGATGGGATGGATGTTCTTGGTCCAAAATATGAATAGGCCATTGCAGGTATTTTTCTTAAATTTAAATCATAACTGTCAGCTGCACCATCATTTAGTTGTAGAATAATAAGATGAGGAGGGGGGAAACACCATTCTGTTGTGTATGGATATCTGTAAAATTCTGAACATTTGTTTATTTTATACAAAACAACTCAGAATTAAGAATTTTGAGTATTTTTTGAAATTGAAGAATTCGCCTTTTAAATCGTCATTTTGAGCAAATTTACACAATTTTATGATGATTATAATGATAATATTATCGTTCTTTATCATATTCATATAGTTGCATTACGCTCAGTAAGATTTAAACATCTTTTCTCCTATTTGAAAGATACAAAGAGGAATAAAGATTAATTGATTGATTGGTTGTATATTGTTTCACGTCTTTCTCGAGAATATTTTTCACTCATATGGAGACGTCACCGTATGCCGGTTAAGGGCTTCAAATTTTGACCTTTACTCGGCACTCAGGGCCATTTAGCAATGAGGGATCTTTATCATGCCAACTCCTTCCGCTGACACGGGGCCTCGGTTTTTAAGGTCTCATCCGAAGGACCTGCAGCTTTCACTTTAAAGTGCCGAGCGCATGGCAAAGGAACAGTTGATACCCAATTTTTATCGACTAAGGTCAGTCGCGGCCGTGATAAATTCACGACCTCCCGATCAAGGAAGGAACGCACTACCGACTGAGCTACCGTGAACGGTAGAAATAATTAGAAAAGAAAATGGATATCCACCATTTTTAATCGCCATTTTGACTTATAACTTACAGCTGTAACATCATTAAGATGTGGAATAGTGAGAATCGGAAGACAATTTACCAATCTGCAGTATATGGGTATTTGCAAATGTAAAATTATGAACGAAGCAGAATAAAGAAACAATAGACAAATAGATCAGAGAAAATTCGTATTAAGTGTAGAAACGACTACATTTTCTGAGTTTCCGTAATAATGTTAGCATACTTTTATAATTTTTTTTGTAGTTGCTTTACATTTAGTGAGATATACATGCATTCTTTTTCCTGTTTGAATAACATTAAGAGAAAAAATAAGAAAATTGGATGTCCGTCATTTTGAATTGCCAGTTTAACCATCTTAACGCAATTTTCAAGAAGGCCAGCATAATTTTTTTTTTGGATTTGGATACCCGAAATAGATTTTAAAAAAAAACTATGCTGAACAAAGTAATAATTATTTGCCGCTAGAAGTATTTTATTTTTATAGATCGGACCAGACTGAACGTAGAACTTACCTGATGTATCTTTAATTTATATATTTTTGGTCACAAAGCTAAATGATCTAATGTATTAGAGGGGTTAAGTTACAAGTGACGTAACGTCGTGTATGCGAAATGTTGACCTGCACGTAATATCTAACGCCGAGTCAAAGATGTGATTTAGTTATACCTCTATACGTAATCAATCGAAATGAGTAAGTTAGAATGATTATTAGGCATTTTGCTCGTAGCATATCTAAGAATTCTAATTTAAAGAAATTAAAGCTTAGTTGAAATTCGTACCAACTTTTAATTATATAAATCATGTACAATGAATAAGTATTATATGCATTGCCATGTCACTGTATTGAAGCGGTTCTTTCAATATTTTTATATCTCTGCAGTACAAGCTTTTCTACAAAGCTTTAAAAAGCTGGGGCAGCTAAAAATTATTGATGGAAAGTAAGAGCAACCACAAACAGAAATTAAATATGAAATCATATTTCGACATATCATTTGAACAATAAAAAATAAAGACTTCATATTTGGTATGCATGCTTCACTGATTGAGCTCTTTTAAATGACACCATGGTAAATGACCTTCTGATTTTGACTGTGACCTATACGCTAAATATAGCTTATTTTTCGGCAAACTTTAACCTTCGCCACATTTTTTTAAGAAAAAAGATAGAAACTAGATATTTGACATATATACTTTACTGATTAAGCCCTTTCACATGACCCCAAGTTCAATGACCTTGTGACATTGACTGCATCCTATATGCTAAAAATATCTTATTTGAATCTATACCATAACTTTTGAGCCATGAGAGATAAAGACTTCATATTTAGTATGCATACTTCACTAATCAATTTCTTTCATATGACACCAAGATCATTGACCTTGTGACCTTGACTGTGACCTATATGCTAAAAATATATTTTTTTAACCCTCACCATAACTTTTGAACCATGAAAGATGGAGATTTCATATTAAATATTTATACTCCACTAATCAAGTTCTTTCACATGACGCCAAAGTCAATGGCCTAGTGACCTTGACTGTGAACTATATGCTATAAATATTTTTTTTTCGAACTTTGCTGCCGCCCGGCGCATAGTGTTTCACAAACACATCTTGTTTTAATTTGAGAAATTTGTAGACATCTTCATTTAATTGATCTTGACTTTAATTAAGTGGACAAATCCAAGACTATCTCATGTTATGAAATTACACAATAAATTAAATTTAATTTAATGTAGAACATAGAAAGACCAAGTTTTTCCTCAAATTCAATTTTTCTGAAACTTTGATATTTTGTTCTAGGGTACAAAATCTCTTTTTATATATAATATAAAAAAAATTCAACCACACATTTTTTGTCCACAGAGTCTGAAATGTGGCCTATACATTTTAATATCTCGAGATATTTTCACTCATATGGGGACGTCACCGTATGCCGGTGAAGGCCTCAAATTTAGACCTATACATGGCACTCAGGGCCATTGAGCAGTGAGGGTTCAGTGCCGACCGTGAAATGGGACCTACGTTTTAAGGTCCAATCCGAAAGACTCGTGACTTTCCCATCTGATGCCGAGCGCTTGCCGAAGGAACAGTCACTACCTATTTTTACGTCTTAGATTTGGTGCAGCGCCACGAACGAAAATCGAACCCGGGCCTCCAAATTACTTCAATTCCTTCCGGTATAACAGGAAGGGTTCAAAATGACTTTGAACAACTTCCGTTTTGTACGACCCGACTTTAGGTTTTAAAAACCCAATTTCCGGTGGATATAAAATGATTTGAAACACCCTATATGTCTATATGCTATAAACATTTGAAAATATTTTTTCTGAAAAATGCATATGTTATAATTACTTCCGTTGGACGATGGAAGTAATGCTAAAATTCAAAACACTGGAGACAAATGTACAATTCAAGATATACTCTCACAAGCCACATTGAAAACGAGCTAACTAAATAATGAGTTAGATTTTGAGATCAGTACATTAGTTAATAATTTTGCAATTCCAGGGAAAAAAACAACCTCACGATCGAGTTTATAATGAATAAATAAATAAATAAATATTTAAAAAAAAATTAAGCTAAGAATATTTTACCACGACATATTAGAACAGCAGGATGGATCAGCCTTATAACACATTCTGTCTTTAATTATGTCTAAACATGCAGGATCTGTTAGAAAAGAAAAAAAATGAATCAGAAGTAAGATGGAGAGAGGAGGGGTGGGTTGGAGGGTACACGTCTTGTTTATTAAAATCCAAGGATGGAAAAATAAAGAAAACATTGTTGAATCTAAATTTTCGTAGATATGAAATGTTTAAAAATTCATAAAACATTGATCTAAGAAATTTTCAAAGTTTCTGTGACAACGAGGGGTAAGAATGCCTTGATGCTACGTTCTATTTCCATTGGTGAAGTCTTCAGAATTAGAGGCGCGTTTTGTCGTCTGACTGGGTCAGCATGGCGTTATGGATTGCGTAAAACATGCCGATCCCAATCCAGTTTTAAATGTTAAATGTGGTTGTTTTTCCAGTTAAAGAATATAATAACGATAAAACATGTATAATAGAGCGATTTACGGATTGGAAAAAATATATATTTTTGAGAATTGACGGTGTAAACCATTTTCACATCGACATCTTATCCCTACATCATCTAATATGTATTTTTTTATTGAACGGTCATAGAATTTAAGAAGAGGTGTAGGTTGTGTTGGAAGAGGAGACAATGACTTGACTGTTATCTTAAGGAAAACTGTCTCTTGAAATTTTCGTACTTTCAAAAGTCTTTTATTATTTCTGAAAACCTACATTTATAAATCATCTTTGAGAAATAAAACTTGTTTGGACAGCCGCTTTTAAATTCTGAACAATTTCTGAAGTTTGGAGCCTTATTCTCTTCAAATTTATAGGTGTAAATAGGACAACTACCTGAAAGTATACAAAACGGTGTTTACTTCTGCTTATAGAGTCAACACTCAATTATTACAAATTTTATAAATAATAACTGCTTTTAACGTTATAATAGTATTGTTATATGTACTTACTTTTAGAAAAGCAATTGGTGATCGCTAAAATTTGGCGTCACATTTTTATATCTGAGTACTGGAATTTCTTAAAATATTTAACCTTACCGCCAACGTGTGGAACATTACGTCCACAAAACTCCACGGTCTCGTTTAGAAAACTGCTTGGCATACAATGGTATACATAAGGTGCATTTTCAAAATTGTCACAACCCAACCTCGATGCTGCACGTTTCCATTCTGAAAAATTCTTCGGCATGGGACAAGTCGAGACTCTCTTTACAAAGTTTGGTAATGTCAAACTAAAGTGCTGAAAATAAAATAAAAGATTAACAATTTCCATGGTTAATACATTTTTCTTTTGCTCGTTACAAAATACATGTACCAGTGTTGTTCAATTCATTGAAAAGTTTAAAAACACATATGAACAGAAACCTGAAAGAACAGATTTATATTTTATGTAAAAAGTAATATTCTGACTGTACACAAATTTTTGAAATGCTGATATTAAAGGAGGAACAGGGCCTTGTGAAGAAAAAAATCCTGTCAATGATTTTTTTTTCGCATTCTTTATATTACACTTTAAAACGGTCTTGTAATGAGATTTCGTACTTATTCCAAAAATATTGCCTCACAAATCTGGCTCGGTAAGTGTATGTACGTATGAAGTTTCAATAATTCATTTTTACTGGTCCATCTTGGAGTCCGTATTGCGATTTTTTACGAACAAGTAATGAATATGTTAGATTATTAAGTATTTGATTGGGGTAATTTCTGCATTTTTTTTTTCAGACAGCTTCAACGACAAAAACCTCATTTTGGAAAAAAAATAAATATTTTAATAATTTTTTCAAATTCCATCGTTAATATTCCTGCATAAATATTGCAGGGTGAAGCTTACCTCAATATTGCACATGACTTCGGTAAATTATATGATGTTAAAATTACTTCACATATGTATTTTCCGAGAGCCGAATATCAATTTTACGTCAAACAAAATATAAACATGCAAAAGTATCTTTAATTCGAGAAAATCTCTGAAATCAAGCACGAAAATATATACTGTATATTAATTGAAGAAAAATCTGCTTTAGATATTTATTACTATACATTACCTGTTGTCATACGAAATGCATTCTGCATTACCTCCCCGTATTAACCCTGACAGAGGAATAAATGATTATGGAATTAAACTATTGACTCTATGTAAGGCTAGCACTTTAAGAATACTGAACGGACGACACAGTAGAAATTTGGATAGAGATTTCACCTTAATGTGACCGAAGGGTAGAATTAGAATGTCTTCCCATAACCTTGCAATTGATACTGGCAGGCATAGACATATTGTGAAGGAATTAAGTTTTTGTGAATTTTGTAAAAAAAAGTATCATAGAAGACGAATTTCATTTTGTTTTAATTTGTCCCCTATACAAGGGCTTGAGAAGTAAATATGTTAAAAGTTATTACTGGAAAAAACCATCCGCATTCAAGCTAGTCCAATTATTAAGTGTACAAAACTTTTCTGAGCTTTGTAATTTAGGTAAATTTCTGCATTTAGCCTTTAAGTTAAGAGATGAAAAAATGTGATTCATTCTTCGTTTGTCCAACCTTTATATCAGTATATTTATTAACATTTATTATGTGACTCAAAGTTTTTATATTTAATGTATAGACGCGCCACACCAAGTGACTTCATTATAGGCGCTGTTTTCTTCATGTATATTGATACCATACCATACCAATCTGTTTTTTCTCAATTATATTTGTAATAAATTCGCAGCTAGGATAAGGCTGCCCGTAAAATATCAAACTGTTCAAACTGTATTAACTTCTCTGAACTACCTAGATATGACGTCATAAGACAATATGACGTCACGTCACTGCATACTTGAGCTGACATGACGGGGAAAGTATCATAATTATTACACGGCATGTAGATTTATTATGGGAATTTGTATTCAATTTCAGAATAAGGGTTGTATTTAAGCGTGTGTGTGCTGTTATTATGTTTAACATTTAATACTTAAATGCCTCTATTCCTTTTGCTTGTCCGATATGCATATATTCAAGCAATAGCAAAAGATTATGTTTGAAACGCTCCCCTTACACTTCTGTAGACAGAGTTAGAATTTATGAATCGTGTTTATATTGGACTGGCACAAGTAGAAGACATCCTGCGTGAATCTAAAAGAGAAGTAAGTCTTCTAACTGAATTTTGCTGGGGGGTCGTATGTATGTTTATCTGTTTTTGAATAAATCGCGATAAACTGTGGAAAACACCCCTCTTTACGTTGGTAATTTTAATTTATCGTAAAATATTTTCTTAAGAAGTAAAAAATGAAACCTGCCCCAGCACTTTTTATGTACCAGAGATCACGATGAATCGATCTATGTAACAAACTTTGCACAATATTTTCGTTTTGCACTTGTGCCGAGGTGATTTTTGTGCAGCATTGAAGAATATCAAAAATGTCCGTCACGTGATCAACACAGTCATCTGACATCACAAAAATGCTTTATTATAACACCTGATTAAACTGTTATCTCAAGTTGACTGCAATTTCAAACAAGGATCACATATTGAAATTAAAATCAAGCTCATAATAAAATGTGTACTTTTTAGACATGTTAAGCCTTCGGACAGCCTTATCATAACTGCGTTGTGGTGATACGTATGTATTAAGCAATAAAAGAATAATAATAGTGGTACCTGTAACCTGTTTATTATGAAATAAAACTGATCATGGTGGATGTAGCTATTTTGTAATTGATCTCGCTGCACTTAAAATTCAATCACTACTGCAGGGTAAAGAGAAACGGATCTGTGGATTTGATAAATTCACAATGTCTAAATATTGGCAAGATCTTTAAAAATCTTAATTATTTACTTTAAAAAAAATAAACGTAAAAAACAAATTGAGAATAAAATGAAACAAGGACATTTAATCTTAACAATTTTTTTTACATGTAGGTCAGCATCGACTATGACTTAATCTGCGCAGGGGTGATAAGGAAGCATACAGAATATTCTACCTTGACTGAGTCAGTGATACATATGACGTTATAGTAGGCGAGATGATGTCAATTTCACAACACAAGTTTTAGTAAAATTGGTATTTAGAGATGTAATTTTACTCTAGAAAATGAATAGAAACGTCTAAACATTAACAAAAATAAATTATTTTTTTTATATTGTTATGATGTATCTGTCATTTTGATAAAAATCTACCATCGATGACGTCATAGTGTACATCAAGTAACTTGGGAATTGATCATGTCGTGTAAAGAGAATTTGGCTAAGAACGGCATGTACAGAGATACGTAAAATGGAGTTTTAAAGCAAATACCGTGAATATTGTATGAAATTCAAATGGAGTTCAGTTAACTATACAGGTATGCTATTTTTTTTTTCATCTATTATATTCTCTTTTAAGGACAGTCAGCTTTAAACGTATCCTAGTCGGCCTTTCCTCTGTCATTCCTGTTATATCTTCATTGATCTTAACTTCTATATTCTAAAGTTCACATATGCATCTTTAACATAAATATAATAATGTTTAGAACAGTAATTGATTCTGACAGTTCCTAATGGGTTAACCTTAAATTGTTTATATTGAAAGCGCTGGCTCTGCAGAACTTGATATTTGATAGTCTGAGAATTTCTAGAGTTGTAGCTAATGCATGTTAATGTATATCACTTAATAAAATGTAGTCAATGTGAACAGACGTGTTTGTATTAATTCATACACAACAAATTGGCGACGAGGATGTTTTAAAATACAATTGATAATTCCATGGAAATTTTCGTTTGAAACTGCAAAGTTTCTGTGATTAACAGTTGATACATCATAATGGCAGGCTACATAGGAAAAATCGACCCGTTCGACGACAGTATTGAAACATGGACTTCATATGTTGAGAGACTTGAACAGTATTTCAAGGCAAACAAAGTCGAAAACAATATGAAAGTTCCAGCACTTTTAAGCCTTATCGGAGGTAAAACATATTCATTGTTACGTGATCTCACCAGTCCAGAAAAACCGGCGGATAAAAACTTTCCGGACATTGTAAAGTTATTGAAGGACCATCTATCACCAAAACCATCAGTAATTGCAGAGCGGTTCAGATTCAATCGGCGGCAACAAATGGACGGCGAATCGGTAAATGAATACGTTGCAAAACTTCGGAAACTGGCTGAACATTGTGAGTTCGGGGACAATCTAAATGACACCCTCCGCGATAGAATAGTGTGTGGACTGAATAATGAGCAAATTCAGAGACAATTGTTATCCAAAACAACACTCACACTACAGAAAGCCATAGAAATATCAGTGGCCATGGAAACTGCTTCAAAGGATGCACATGAACTCAGAGACAAGCAAGTAAGTGTCAACAAATTGAATCCTAATCGAAATTATAAACAAAAGTCTGAGACACAACAGTCTAGCAAATGCAATCGATGCAATGGCAAAAATCATGCATCAGCCGACTGTTACTTTAAGGAAGCCATCTGCCGAAAATGCGGGAAAAAGGGTCATATCAAACGAGCCTGTATGACGAAACAAAAGCCAACAACATTCAAACAGAAGGAATATGTAAGAAACGTTGACCAAACAGAAAGTGATGACAGCGATTCCTCATGCGGGATAGAAAAATTAAGCATAAATTCCGTCATCAAACCTGATGATAGTCCGATACTCTTAAATGTCAGAGTAAATGGAAAGGATATTCAAATGGAATTAGATACCGGATCAGCCGTATCTGTGATATCCGAGGAGAAGTTCCGAGAAATATTCGGAAAGCAGCCATTGAAGCCGAGCAATATCAAACTCCGTACTTACTCAGGAGAAAAATTAAAACCGGTAGGAGTTCTAGATGTAAAGGCGGAACACAACGGTCAAAGTGTCGCTTGTGAGCTCTACGTGGTGAAAAACGGATCAACAACCTTATTTGGAAGGTCATGGCTAAAGCAAATAAAAATTGACTGGAAAAGTGTCAAAAGTGTTATGAGTGTCACTACAATCAAAAGTGAAAATAAAAGCAAAGTGCAATCTGTGTTACAAAAGTATAGTTCAGTGTTTTCAGATGGAATTGGTAAAGTTGAAGGGATTAAAGCTAATCTCCATTTAAACGAGGATGCAAAGCCAATCTTCTGTAAAGCACGACCCGTTCCGTTCGCAATGAAACCCAAAATTGAACAAGAGCTAGAAAATCTAGAAAATATGGGAATTCTGGAAAAAGTAAACACAAGTGAATGGGCAACTCCCATTGTCGCGGTGCCCAAGAAAAATGGTAAAGTAAGGATATGCGGTGACTTTAAAGTCACAATCAACCCTAAGATGAATGTGGATCAATATCCCCTACCAAAAATTGAGGATATTTTCGCATCACTGTCTCAAGGAGAACATTTCTCAAAAATTGACTTGCGACAAGCCTATCTTCACATGGAAATGGAGGAAAAGTCAAAAACTTACCTCACAATCAACACCCACAAAGGACTATATCGATATAATAGACTATTATATGGAGTAGCATCAGCGCCCTCAATTTGGCAAAGAACAATGGACCAGGTTCTCCAAGGAATACCAGGAGTTCACTGTATCTTGGACGACATGATTGTCACAGGTAAAACCGAAAACGAGCACTTGAGAAATTTAGATAGTGTTCTTCAACGCCTCCAAAATTTTGGACTGAGAGCGAACCTTGAAAAATGTGAATTTTTCAAAGACAGTGTTAAGTATTGTGGACATGAAGTCACAAAAGAGGGAATCTGGAAAACTAAAAACAAAATTGACGCAGTATTAAGAACGCCAGCTCCAGAAAATATCACGCAACTAAGATCATTTCTAGGTCTCGTAAACTATTACAACAGATTCTTACCAAATCTGGCAAGCGAATTAAAACCCTTGCACGAATTGTTGGAGAAAGGACGAAAATGGTCTTGGAAAGAAAAACAACAGAAAGCATTCGAAAAAGCAAAAACGCTTATAACTTCGGATACCGTACTTGCGCATTATGACCCCGAAATGGAGCTATGTCTCGCTTGTGATGCCTCACCTTATGGAATAGGAGCTGTATTGTCACACAAGTATGACAACGGAAGCGAACGACCGATAGCTTATATCTCAAAAACGCTGACAAAATCAGAGCGAAACTACGCACAAATCGACAAAGAAGCACTTGCGATTTACTGGGCAGTTAAGAAATTCTATCCTTATCTCTTTGGACGAAAGTTTACTTTGATTACGGATCACCAACCACTTACATCGATCTTTAATCCTTCAAAGAGCATCCCAGTAACGTCTGCTTCAAGATTGCAAAGATATGCTGTATTTTTGTCAGGATTTACATATGATATTGTGTACAAAAGTACCAAGAAACACACAAATGCCGATGCGTTATCGAGACTCCCTATGAAGTCAAATGACAACGATGGACCAGATGCATCGGAAATATTTAACATTGAGCAAATAGAAAATTTGCCAGTGACCGCAAAAGAAATTGCAAAAGAAACAAAAAGAAACCCAATGCTGAGTCGTGTATACCAGCATGTGACATCAGGATGGATAAAACCAGAGGACAAATCCTTGATGCCGTTCTACAATCGTAGAGATGAAATTACCACACAACATGGATGTTTGATGTGGGGAATTCGGGTGATCATTCCGACAAAATTCCGTAATAGAATATTGGAAACTCTTCATGCATCGCACCTAGGAGTCGTGAAAATGAAGGGCATTGCGAGAAGTTACGTATGGTGGCCTGGGATTGATAAAGATATCGAAAACATCACAAAATCTTGCACTGGATGCGCAAAAATTCAAAACAATCCAAGCAAAGCACGCGTACATCCCTGGGAATGGCCTTCAGCACCCTGGCAGAGGATACATATTGACTTCGCAGGACCATTCTTAGACAAAAATTTTCTCATCATGGTTGACGCGCACTCTAAATGGCCTGAAGTTTTCCCGATGAATAAAATCACATCGTTTAAAACCATCGAAATCCTTCGCACAGTTTTCGCAAGAAATGGAATTCCAGAGCAAATCGTTTCAGACAACGGACCACAGTTTACGTCACGTGAATTTGATGATTTTACAAAGAAAAACGGAATTAAACATTTCAAATCTGCTCCATATCATCCAGCAACTAATGGATTAGCCGAAAGATTCGTACAAACTTTCAAACGAAGCATGAAATCTATGAAAAACAACGAAATGTCGATCAACAAAAAGATTGCGAATTTCTTATTGCTGTATAGGAACGCGCCTCACAGTATCACCAATGAGACACCAGCAAAACTATTTCATGGAAGAAATCTGCGGACATGCCTAGATTTAATACGACCCGATACCAGGAAAATCGTGGAAGACAAAACCATGAAAAACGCCGTGGAGGAGAAAGGAACAGTCCGAGAATTTAAAGAAAACGATCATGTAATTGTGCGAGATTACAGAAGTAACAATAAATGGATTGACGGACAGATAAGATCTAAACTAGGACCGTTATCTTACGAGGTTACAACAAAACAAGGAAGCGTATGGAAAAGACACGTAGATCAAATGCGCGATTCAAAACCAAAACCTGATGAACAATGTACTGTAAATTACCCAGTGTCAGAACAACAAGAGCCCGTAACTGATGAGACAAACGCGCCAGGTATCAACGAGTCTCCAGTCAGCCCACAGGCAGATAACGCGATATCCGAACCGCTAAATAAACGTTATCCGACGCGTGTGCGAAAACAAACCAAAAGACTCATTGAAGAGTGTTGACTTTGTACATAAACATTATAACAATATCATAATCTTATGAATTTTAATCAAGTAGAATAGTTTGTATTTTGTTTTGTGTTAAATATACTTAAAGTGATTTATGTTCATAAATTCGCTGGGAGGAAATGTTATATCTTCATTGATCTTAACTTCTATATTCTAAAGTTCACATATGCATCTTTAACATAAATATAATAATGTTTAGAACAGTAATTGATTCTGACAGTTCCTAATGGGTTAACCTTAAATTGTTTATATTGAAAGCGCTGGCTCTGCAGAACTTGATATTTGATAGTCTGAGAATTTCTAGAGTTGTAGCTAATGCATGTTAATGTATATCACTTAATAAAATGTAGTCAATGTGAACAGACGTGTTTGTATTAATTCATACACAACAATTCCTGATAAAAATAATGCAGCAGAACAACAATAAGCTGGATATTTCAAAACATAAGATTTGAACAGATGTAAAGTTCACCTTCTAAAATACTTGGAAAGTGCTGCTAGAATCCCGAGTTAAGCATGGTTTTACGAAAAATCTCGGTCCATATGTATAAAATTCAAATCATCGGGTAAGGTTTCGTGCGAATGTGTGGAATAATTATTTTACAGACAGGACAGTGGGATTCTAGCAGCACTTTTTATGCAAAATAGATGATTTTCGACTATATTATTTACTCAAAGAATTTATTCAACTCCTGGGTATTGTTGTTCTGTTCGCTTTTTTATTAAGGAACAATTCGCTATAAATAGAAGTCACGTGATGCAGTGGTGGTGGTGCACGTCTTTGCGTTAGACACTTTTTTTATCTTTATGCAATAGTTACTTAGAGTTTACGTTCATCAGTGGTTTGAATAAATTATCAAACTTAATTTTCTTTAAAAAGTCTTAATTTCCCGAGAATGATTTATATGCTTCCTTAACATACCCGCATGTCTTTTGAGACATGTGCATGTGTCCTGTTTTCCCTTAACTGTGCTTAAGGCTCTAATTTACAACATCGATGAACTTTTTGGAGATCACCTCTACCGACAGTTTTTCGGAAACCTCCGTTCATATCAACCGCTCCTTGTTTTTGCAGGCCAGGTTTTGTATTTAGAAGAAGCAGAATCTATTCAAATACTTCTTTTCGAAGAGGAAAATTTCTTAACGTGATCTTTAACTAAATATTTATTTCACAATCAACGATGTTTTTTTTGTTTTGTTTTGTTTTTTTTTTTTTTCAAAAAGCAGTAATATTCCTTTTAACTCACAAGTTGATTTTTAGAAAATGGATTCTGAAACAAATTATCACATATGTATAATATTTCCAGAGTCTTCTACAAGAATGCATATAAACACAGAGAACTAAATGTTTTTTTAAAGACAATAACCTTTTCATATCTCAATCTTCTTTATTTGTGTTCAAGTTTCTTTTTCTACTGGTTTAAACTGTACATTTCATGAAAATAAATTGTTACTTAAAGATCAGAAAATGGCAACGATTTATCCATGGCACGTGATCCAAACTCTGATGTTTTTGAGATCTGTGTTTGCTCTGCACCTATTTTGCATTGTTTTATGGACTTTGATGTTGAATACTCAAAAGCATATTTAAATACAAACAGTTTCTAAACCAAAATAAGCTTCTATTAAAAAATTTTCGCTGAAAGAATATCAACAGATAACAAAAACATTTAATACTATAGTCGATACAATGATATTGATATAAAATATATTCTATCTTTGCGTCGAATGTTTACTAATGTTTATGAAATTGGGTCATGGCTCGTGAACTACACATTTTTTCCCCTTTTGCATTTGTTTCATTTGTGTATTTTAAAACAGAGAGCAAACAACATGTTTGGTCAATTGATGGCTGCTTTTTTTCTTTTTATGGTACCTGACACTCTGAAGGCTTTTAGTAACCCGTGTTCTAATCTGAATTGTTTCAATGAACTTATAACGTGATCGAATTTCGTTATCTTCATGCTTTAAGAGGCTGGGGGTGGCAGTCATTTTTAGACTTTTTCAATCTCCTTTAAAAGGAGTGCTCCATATAAAGATATACAAAAATGATCAAATCTTAAAACTAAAATGTATGATTTTTTATTTGTCAAATGATCGTTGACAGCTAAAGATCCAGTATCTAAAAAAAGTTAAATCTGGTGGTTAATTTGGGAATAATTTGTTGACCCACCAGCCCCCTTAATTGACAAAATAGCTCACATTATACAAAGCAACAATACACGGAAGAGCCAATATTTCACATGACCGATGTTTTTACCGTGATATGCAAGAGAATCATCAAGAGCAGCACCAGTATGTTCGGCTTTAACAGCAAAACCTATAAAAAGAAAGAAAACTAAATAAATAACAGAAAAGTCATCCCTCTACCTGAGCTCCCTGAACATTTGGTCATAATTTTGTTATTTCTTTAATTAGGCCTCAAGAGGGACGTTAAACAATATAAAATCAATCAATCAATTTTATAAGACACCGAAGAGCACGTAAAAAGGATTCAGTTTTACTTTGCTTATATTCACAAAAAAATCATTTAAAACAAAATTTACTTTTAAATAAAACTAATTATTCCAGGAAAAAGAAGCATTTTAAGGATAGATAAAATATATATGATATCTACAATTGACTAATATTTTCTTTATATTTGATAACAGAGAGATAAAGAGAACCTGTAAGGGTATATTGGTAAGAATTCTCTGCATTATCCCATCTGTTTTGATAGTGACGAACTTCTACAGGCATTTAATTATATGAAGACGACCCATTCCACGCAGGGCTAAACTTGTAGCTTATTCTTCAATATCTGCTTGGTTTTTTTTTTCAATACAAAAAGGCATTTGAGAAACTTATGCAATAGGAAATGCAAAACATCGAGAATAAAAAAAAAATGATCAAAGAATGTTACCTACACAAAATGCAGGCTTTGAAAACATGCTTTTCAATTTAAAGTTATTAAAATTAAAATTAAAACATGTAGGAGTCCATTATTTAGTTTTTTACTGGTTAAGACATATCCAGTTAAACATCGATGTGCATGTTTATTCACTGATGTCTATTCATGAGATACGTAAATAGTTTTCATGGATGTTTTGTTTTCATGGATGTTTTATATTCTCTTAAATGATAAAGCATTTTTCTTTTAGGAGCGATTGTATTTCATGGACTTTAATTTTACTAGTTTTTGCTATTTTCCACAGATTTTAATTGACACATAAAACGTTGTCAGAAAACAGGAGATCATTCATAGAATCCTAGAAATGTCTGCATTTATTTTAGCAACTTGTTCAATATTTTATAAAAGACAAACGATCGTTCTTTTATTAGTCTCCTACCGGTAAAGCGAGAAAAAGACGTTGGAAAAATGATTTGAAATTTTGTCTAAATGTGGATTATTTCATTAGGTTTAAGGCATTCACAACATAAAAATCATGCAGTTTTACCTTGGACATAACTTTGGCATATTATAAAATGACATCCGGAAGAAAAAAGGGGAACCCGTTAGGGGACATGTATTGCAATACTCTCAGAATACTTGTTGTATTTAATATATATATAACCAGGTTATTTATTTGTACATATTATAAAGGCCAGATGTGAATAGCGTCTTGAATTGATTGTCATTTTCAGAATGTAGTAATTTTTTTTTAATTGTACGAAACCATCCATTTTTATAAATCATATTGACATCAACGTAATATACCTTACACTTATTCCAATTTCTAGAAGGAGGGGGATAGAGTAAGGGATAAAGAGACATGGAGTTACTGATGCCGATCAATAGCCCAGCCTTTCTTCATTATTGATAACCTGACTCAAAACGTATCCAGGCACAAGTCAAATTTCGGAATGCAAGCAAATGTATGATTTTGTTGCATAGCAACAAGGTGTTGCGTTTGTACACAGGTTTTACTTAATATAATCATACAGTTATGTACAATTTTACCTTTTATTTCTAATGCATGTATAATATATTTACATCCACTGAATATTTTCTCCTTTATTTTTGTAAGAAAATTCATTGCGTTAATCACTGCATGAACTAGATTAGACATGCCGCCTGTACAGATTTCTTGATCAGTGACTGTTCCATCAATGAAACGTATAAGGACGTTTGCATCATGAATACAATAATTAATCTTTTCTATCCTACTTTAAATGATCATTTAAACAGATATAAATATAAACAATAAAATGTCTTTCTTTGTTTGTTAGTATTAGAATGAACGGCTGCAGCTATTGCAGAAAAATTTTACATAACCTGCTTACGGCAACAGTTGTTTCCGTTGATTCCAATAATAGCAAACAAAGAAACCATTTTATTGTTTAAATAAATTTACCTTAGAGTGCTCAGCGAATATAATTTATCATTATGTTAAATGATGACTGACTCTTTTTCATACTGATTTTTCTTTTATACACACTGATTTGTCGACTGATTTTTCTCTGTGATTCTTTTTATCCCACTGTTTTTACCTGATTTTAATTTTTATGTTTTAGAAATCGTTTGTACTCCACTTCCTTTTTGTAATGTTTAATGATTTTTTTTTGGTTTGAATAGTGATATTGTTCGTTTTCGCCACATATTTTGTGAACATCCGTCAATAATGTAACATGATATAAATAATTTAAAAAAAAAAATTTTTCTTTCAATTTTTTCACATTTAATTTGTACAAAAAAGTGTTTATTGCTTACCTCCAGTATGTAAATCGTCTTCATTTAGATCATGATACAAAAACAAAGCACTTGAGTTACACGTTTAATGAGAAGACTTTGTACTGATCCTATCTATTACAGCACTTATATTGATATAGTATTTTTATATACATTAGATAAAATGCTTCTTATGAATGATTTATTAAAAATTTCAAATGAAATGTTACACACATAAACGAAAAGAAAAAATAAATTCCAATAAAGTAAACATCTACTATGTATGTTTCCTTAAACCATAAAAAATAATTGTTAAAGCATCATACATTTGTTTTCAATGTAAATC